ACTCTATAGAATACCTCTTGGTTCGGTCTTTTCCTATTCGCATTGGCAGGCGCAATGCTTCGAACTACACTGAGGCAATCGAGTAGCCAGCTCTTGAGGGGTGGCTGCTCTGCTAGAACTCTGTGCACAACCTCAAGATCACCTCTCTCCATCTCGAATGCCACATCGAAATCCGCCCTCTCGTCGAAACGACGTTCTCTAGCTATCATTTCCCAGAAGAGACATGAGTCGACTTCTGCAAGTGCCCCGGATTCAAATGACAGTTTTTTGTCCGGAAACACCGCAAATTACATTGATGAGATGTATATGCAATGGAAGGAGGATCCATCGAGCGTGCATATCTCCTGGCAGGTTTACTTCAGGAATATGGAGAGTGGTGATATGCCAATGTCGCAAGCTTTCACCCCTCCCCCAACTTTGGTTCCCACACCTACCGGAGGCGTTCCAAGTTTCTTGCCAGGCTTAGGTGGCGGAGAGGGTTCAGAAGTCACAAATCACTTGAAGGTTCAGTTGTTATGCCGTGCATATCAAGCTCGCGGACATCACAAAGCAGATATCGACCCTCTCGGTATTAGACGCGAGGCTGAGGAATTTGGTTACAGCAAACCTAAGGAGCTCCAACTCGAACATTACCAATTCTCGGAGAAGGATCTGGATACCGAATACTCCCTTGGCCCTGGTATTCTGCCACATTTCAAGAAAGCGGGTCGTGAGAAGATGACCCTGCGCGAAATTATTGCGGCATGCGAACGTATCTACTGTGGTTCGTATGGTGTCGAATATATCCACATTCCTGACAGAGAACAATGTGATTGGTTACGAGCTCGAATCGAGGTTGACAAGCCTTTCAAATACTCAATTGATGAGAAGCGCAGAATCTTGGATCGTTTGATCTGGAGTTCAAGTTTCGAAAGTTTCTTGGCTACCAAATACCCCAACGACAAGCGTTTCGGTTTGGAAGGTTGTGAGACCTTGGTTCCAGGTATGAAAGCTTTGATCGACAGAAGTGTCGATTTTGGTGTCAAAGATATTGTTATTGGAATGCCTCATCGTGGTCGCTTGAATGTTCTCAGTAACGTTGTCAGGAAACCAAACGAGTCAATCTTCAGTGAATTCGGTGGTTCCGCTGCAGCTGAGGATGAAGGTTCCGGTGATGTTAAGTACCATTTGGGAATGAATTTTGAGCGCCCAACTCCTTCTGGCAAACGTGTACAGCTTTCCTTGGTCGCCAATCCCTCCCATCTCGAAGCTGAAGACCCTGTCGTACTCGGTAAAACTCGAGCTATCCAGCATTACAACAATGATGAAAAGGACCACAAGACTGCTATGGGTGTTCTCCTCCATGGTGATGCTGCCTTTGCTGCCCAAGGTATTGTATACGAATGTTTGGGTTTCCACTCTTTGCCTGCATACTCTACAGGTGGTACAATCCACTTGGTTGTCAACAATCAAATTGGTTTCACCACCGATCCACGTTTCGCTCGATCAACAGCTTACTGTACCGACATCGCCAAGTCAATTGATGCTCCTGTCTTCCATGTTAATGCTGATGATGTTGAGGCTGTCAACTACGTTTGTCAATTGGCTGCTGATTGGCGTGCTGAGTTCCAACGCGATGTTGTCATTGATCTCGTTTGTTACAGAAAGCATGGTCACAACGAAACCGATCAACCTTCGTTCACACAACCTTTGATGTACAAGCGCATTCAAAAACACAAGTCCCAAATTGACATTTACATTGATCAACTTCTCAAGGATGGTAGCTTTACCAAGGAGGACATTGATGAGCACCGAAAGTGGGTTTGGGGAATGTTAGAGGAGAGCTTCGCTAAGAGCAAGGATTATCAACCAACATCAAAGGAGTGGACCACCTCCGCTTGGAATGGTTTCAAATCGCCAAAGGAACTTGCTACCGAAGTCCTTCCACACAACCCTACCGGTGTACCAGCTCACACTTTGGAGCACATTGCTACAACAATCGGTTCATATCCAGAGGACTTTAACGTGCACCGTAACCTCAAGCGTATCTTGGCTAACCGTATCAAGACTGTGAGTGAAGGACAAGACATCGACTGGTCAACTGCTGAAGCACTTGCATTCGGAACTCTCGTCGGCGAAGGCCACCACGTCCGTGTTTCTGGTCAAGATGTTGAGCGTGGTACTTTCTCTCAAAGACACGCTGTCTTCCACGATCAAGAGAACGAGAAAACCTACACACCTCTTCAACATATCAGCAAAGACCAAGGAAAGTTCGTCGTTTCTAACTCTTCATTGAGTGAGTTCGGTTGTCTTGGTTTCGAATACGGTTACTCTCTCTCTTCACCAGATGCTCTCGTCATGTGGGAAGCTCAATTCGGTGATTTCGCTAACAACGCTCAATGTATCATCGATCAATTCGTCGCTTCTGGTGAGGTCAAGTGGATGCAAAGATCCGGTCTCGTCATGTCATTACCTCACGGTTATGATGGGCAAGGACCTGAGCATTCTTCTGGCCGTATGGAGAGATATCTTCAACTCTGTAACGAAGACCCTCGTATCTTCCCTTCGCCGGAGAAGCTCGAGCGTCAACACCAAGATTGCAACATGCAAATTGCTTACATGACATCACCATCTAACTTGTTCCACATCTTGAGAAGACAAATGAACAGACAATTCCGAAAGCGTAAGTCGTACCATTTCCTTCAAAAAAAAACCTTTACTAACAATCTCTAGCTCTTATCATTTTCTTCTCCAAATCTCTCCTCCGTCATCCTATTGCCCGTTCACCAATTGAGGAATTCACCGGTGACTCTCAATTCCGCTGGATTATCCCTGATGCTGAACATGGCAAATCTATCAACGAGCCTGAGAACATCGAGCGTGTTATCCTTTGCACAGGACAAGTTTATGCCGCCTTGAGCAAATACCGCGCCGACAACAACATCAAGGACACTGCCTTTACTCGTATCGAACAACTCAACCCTTTTCCATGGCAACAACTCAAAGAGAACCTTGACATGTACCCCAATGCCAAGACCATTGTTTGGTGTCAAGAAGAACCTCTCAATGCCGGTGCATGGAGTTTCACTCAACCTAGAATTGAAACTTTGTTGAACAACACTCAATACCATGATAGAAAGCACGTCATGTACGCAGGTAGAGATCCAAGTGCCAGTGTGGCTACTGGTCTTAAGGCTAGCCATACCAAGGAAGAAGCGAAGTTGTTGGAGACTGCTTTCTCCGTTACTCAAGACAAATTGAAGGGAGAATAGATTTTTTTTAGCTTGAGGGCTGAGGTTGGAGGATGTGAAGGAAAAGGTGCAGATTTGTAATGTAAACTGAGAGGAAGAGGAACATAACATAGCGTGAGACATCACATTACATGATGGGTGATGGGCATCGGGTTGAATGCGATTAGAGCAAGATGTATTATTGTACAGAATTGAGTGGTGGTGGAAGTATTAGTCTGACTTGGGACGAACAATCGTTAAGACGCCGTTTTTTTGTTGGTAGGATGATTTTCATGTGATGTTTGATGCTTGACGTTTGATGATTGATGATTTGTATGGCTATGATTTGAAATTTTGTTAAATGTTAATGGAATTCTTGGTGTTGCTGGCGTAGTATTGATAAAAGTACTGTACTTTGGCAGATACTACAGATGCCTGCGTAAATGCTTGGTATCAGGGTCCTGCAAAATAATCATAACGGTAATACTTAGGAAGATAAGGGGGGTAGTGATGCGAGGGGTGCGAGCAGATCTCGAGTTAAGTAGGTATATGTGTGCAAGGTAGGTAGGAATCTATCAAGAATTCTCACTCTCACTCCCCTCTGCATCTTCCCAAACAGCAAAAGTAATTTCCCCATTGATATTTCATTCGCTGGAGACTATCTACCTATCTACTATCTTAAGAGCTACCTATCTAGAACGAGAAAAATAAGAAATGAGTAATCCCTAAGAGTTGGCTGGTCCTGATGATTCATTCCTTCATTTTCATATCCATCCATCCATCCATCCATCCATTAGTTTTGTTTCCGTGAGTACCTAGTATTCATTCCTTCATATCCATCATTTTATTTCATTCATTCATTCATAATCGTCATCATACTGGCAAATTAATTATTCCGTCGCTCAAACCCAATCCCAAAGTCTCATAACCCTCCCCAAAAACGGCAACTCAACTAAAGATTTTTCTCTGCATGATTCCTCCTGAGGAAAGAGTCGAGATGAATCTTCAGTTGTTGTAGAGAAATGTGATTTCATATTTCATTCCATCTTCCATCTTTCCATCTTTCCGTCCATCCATAACTAAGAACCCAACAACTCCACCAGCCAGTCCCATCTCTCAGAAATCTCTTGAAAGAAACCTCGAGATGAAACCTCAAATTTACAAAAAAAATCCCCCCCCAATTTGAAAAGTAATCCACCATCCCATCTCTCCGCCACCAAATCTTTCATCTCTCCTACTTTATACATTCCCACTCTCAGAAAGACGGGTGAGAACATACGCAGCAAGATCTGGGTAAGTAGATGAAAGAATAGAATGAATGGAAGCAAAAGAAATCCATTCGTCATCGTAGCATGAATAGTAAAACAGCGAAAAATTGACCAATATCGCAAGAACCGAAATACAAAAGAAAGAAAAGGAAATAAGGGTGCGTTGAGCTGTATGTAGGAAAAGAGATTGAAGAAGAAGAAGAAGAAGAAGAAGAAATAGGGCGAAGTGATTTGAAGTAATCCGACAGAGAGCATCCTGAGCTTAAATTGGGACTGTTGAGTTTTCTGATTCAACTGTAGTATTCGAGAGAAGAAGCTAAAGAGCCGTTTTCATATGTATGTATACAACAGTTGATGAAGTGAGGGAAAACTGGCGAGAATGCTCGGAGAATTGATGTGACAAATATTCTGCAGTAGATTGGACCGGAAAGAAGAGTTTTCTGGTGATTGAGAAAGGCAAAAAGGCCCAAAGCTTACAAGTTGAAAGGTATTGAAAAAGCGATTGCAGCAATTACATCAAATTTTAGTTGTGATTAATAATCACGGCGTCGACTCGATGGCCCAACTGACGCAAAGTTCTCTTAGCTGCTAAAGCTTCGACTGAAGTGTCAAGCACCATAACATCCTGCGCTTGCTGTAAGAGCAAAAGGAGTTTACGGTTATCGTTGATAGCTTGAACTTTGTGTGTAAGGAATACAGCGCAGCCAGCGAGAACAATCTGTTGAGCTGGATCGCGTTCAACAGTAAGAGCATATCGAAGGGAATCAAGCGTATTCTTGATTTCAGTAAGCGAGTCCTCGACGGATGACGGGAGGGGTTGCTCATGCTCATGGCCATCATTGCCGTTCTCTCTACGTGGTGGATCTGATGCGCCATCTCCAGCAGTGACTTGGATGTTGTTTTGACCATTTCCTTGAATTTGTACATATGAATTTGGAACTGATGGAGGAGAACGCGTAGGTGCACTCTGTGACAAAGTTTGAATTCGGTGCTCAATAATAGAGTCTGAGGGTGGTGCATCTTGCTCTCTGAAAATGGCATCAAGTTGAGCAGTGGACATCACAGAATGCTGTACAACTGATGTTGGATAATCGGCCATCTGTGCGGTTGAGTCGGCAGCTTCCACAGAAGTCTCAACAACCTGAGAGCTAACAAGTTTGCTTCGGCCAGCTGAATTGTTGGTTGGATGCTCAACTGAACCAACTTGATTGACTTGCTCGGTAAGATAGGTTATTTCACTGTAAAACGACGCGAACTCCTCACCGACGTCGCGATCATTGACGAAAGGAGCAATTTCAGGTGCCTTTTCCACTATAACAGTAGGAATATCGTGCTGAGCAATTGCATGTTCGGGGACACTAACTGAAGCAGAAAAAGGTGGGTCCATAGCAACGACTTCTGAAGTACGACGGTTTTGCATCATTCCAGAAAGGCGGCTCTTGAGACCTCTTCCAGCATTCTTGACAGAAGACATCGCACTCGACTTTAAAGCAGGCGCTGGCTTGCGGGACTTCGCATTGGCCTTGGCGCGAGCTGCGGAAGAGGCAGTTGGCTTCGACAGACGTTCTGCCAACGTTACTTTCTTCTCTAGAGTGAGTTCGGTCGGCTTAAGGGTTTTGTTTTCTGTAGAATCTGGTAGAGACGACTTGCGTTTACTAAACTTCGAGGTAGCAGCGCTGAATCCCTTTGGCTTTGCTACCGGTGTTGTCTTTCTAGCAATCTTTTCGAGGACATTGTTTGATTGCTCAATATCTTCAGGGAACTCGTCAATGTAGAGACGAGTCCTGACCTTAGAATAACTGCAAATAGTGATTAGAGAGTGGCGGAGCGAATCAGGGTGAATAAACTTACGGTGGCGACGTGCCCAGAACAATCCTATCGGCGTTTCTAGCAAAACGCGTGGAGGGAAGCAGCGACATTTCTCTCTTTCTACCAATAGTTGTTTGGCTTTCAGATCGGCCAATTGGACCACTATGAGCGATAGCTTGAAGGGCGGTATTGGGAGCGACTTGGATGAGGTCTTCTTGATCGGTGGGGGCTGGCAGTGGCTTGAGCAGGGTTTCCTTGATCTTTGACTTCGAGCGGATTGTCAGTGATGTCTTCAGAAATATTATTGTTGGGGACATCTTGAGCAACAGTTCCTGTTAATCTATCAGAGCCATCAATAATTACATGGGTTGAAAGGTCGTTTAAACCATTATTGCTGCTAACATCGACCATACTTCTGACTGAAGGCTCGTCGTTGTCATCAGTATTCGTGGACAAAGGAGTTTCCTGATGTGTTGAAAAGCGGGAAATAACATTATCGACGACCTTGTGGGAACTGCTTTCATCATTTGTTAAGCTGGATCGGCTACGACGTTGATTTTTTGGCAAGGGACTACCGTTATCCTTCAGGGAAGCAATGTGACTTGGGGATGCTAGACAATCATTACCACTTGGAACTTCTAGAACGTGGTTTTCAGCTGCGTCTGTTTCGGGTTTATTGGCCAGTTTAGCTTGGTTAAATTGGAGACGCTTCATACTAGCATTTGTCTCACGAACCCTAGAGACAACCATATTTTTGTCTTCTGGAGGGGTCAAGAGTTGTAGTTTTGTCGAGGCGCCGTATGCAGTGCCAATCTGAGCAGTGCCAACTTCAAAAACAGAATCGGTGTCCGAATTGTAGGCGAATGAGGATGTCACAACAAAGGCGGAATCTTGAGTATGAGATTCTGTAGCAACAGAGTCTGTGAGGGAAATTTCTTCAATCGCGGATTTCTTAGCAATGGGTTTTGGCTGAAGGATGGGGAATTGCAAAGCGGACGAACTGAGATCGGTCGCATCCAGTAAACCACGGCGCTCGGGCGAATTTTCGAGCGGAAAATCGGCTTAGGCGGCAATTTCTTATTGAGCGACAGTCTGGTAGGCTACTAGTGGTCAGATTGAGATTGATTAAGCCGCGGTAGGTTTGAGATAATGTAAGTGATGAGGGGCTGTGTATTGGGATGACATACCATCATTGTAAAGGGTGTGTCAATGTCTGAAATGTCGAGCTCGTACTCAGCAATCATTACCTTAGAAAGCTTTGAGGGTGTATATGGAGCAGTGTCGTATTGATTGCGATTCCCTCGATTTTGTTGGTAACGAGCAAGACTTCGTAATGTTCTGGTGCTAGAGTCGCGTCTCAATCTTCTGTGAGGAGATCGAGATGATTTGCCAGAAGTTTCGAGATAATAATCAATATTGAATCCTTTACAATCAGGTGTGGTAAAGGACTCTGGTGAGGTGTATTGGTATTGTTGTTTCGTATTGAAGCTGTTGGTGCGTTGCCTATTCATGCGAGAGCTTGCATCTGTTTAACACACCCCGATGATGGACATTGCCATCATGCTTCGGAGTGGCTAGTCCGCCAATCATGTTTGAGTATTCCACCATGATCAGCTTTGATGAAATTTCCTTTAAACTGAACTTCTCTTCAATGGAACTGAAACTGAAGCAGATGAATGGATTTCTAAACAAAATTATCAAAGAGAATTTGAATTTTGATTCAACACCGCAGAATCAAAATGCAAATGATAAAGGCAAAATGATAGATATCTTACAACACCAGAGTTGAGTAGTGACAAGTCTAAACCTGGCTGTGGTGTTTTGTTGGTTTATTGAGGTCGAGAGAGAAAATTGGAAGAATTAAGATCTCGAGAGACAATACCTGCTCAGTTGTATGAACAACTGTGTGTTTGCTAGCGTGTCCGAAGGAAAGCCGTGAGCCGAACCAATACTACTCTTTCAATACCTCTGCCGCCCTAATGTAATCTTTGGGACATTATTCTTTGAGGCTATGCTGTGGGCTAGAGAATGTGCTATGAGTTTACAGATCTGTCGAAGAGAAGTCTGCAGTGTGAGACAATAGAAGACAATGATTGCATACTCTTTGGTTACTGGGGTGGTGTATAAATCTACATAAAGAAGGAAGAAGGTTTCTACTGTTTCAGAAAAAAAGATTTGAATAGCAAAAGAAGTAACAGTGTCTTGTGAGGAGTTAGGGTGACTCATGAACCTCTGATTTGAGAGAAAAGTCCTTGGGTCAATGGATAGAGCTCTATACTTCCATGTAGCATGCCTACTCTGAGTCTGTCTGCTTGTGTATATATCAACTTTGTGAGTTTCTAGAAATCCTAGTTGCCAGTATCTTTGACCTAGATATGAAGTGATACTCAGGTAGCTCAAAGCTGGAGAGATTTCCATAACAAAACAACAGCATACAATCACACTTTACATAATCAAAGAATTTGATCTCCAAATCTGATATAAGGACACACCTAAAGAGCTACAATGTTGATGCCTCATGTCATGATGTTTGATTTGAGCAAAAGACAACAGAAACAATACAAAACAAAGAGGATGAAACCAAATGTAATCCTTCTTAGGAATATGATTCAACATCACTTGATTTCGAGTATTCACTCTCATTTCTCCCGTAGCCACAACGCAGATATGAGGTGAGTTTGAAGTGAGGTTGGAGTGAAGTCTTGAATTGAAGTGAGGTTCAATCACAATGTTTTGTGGATCACCAATCAGAACGATCAATTTCAGACTTACGTTAGTCATCACTGCGGGAGTTCCCTGGCGCTCTCTCTAACAGAAGTTAACATACTAGATCCCGTAACTAGTTAGTTAAATACTTTTATTATGATAATGATGATGATGATGATGACGATGATGATTTATACACAGTAGGACGGTATCAGTACCTTGAAGATTTCTACACATAAATAATTCATATCCAATATCGTCCGGTAAAATGATTACCTACCTATGTACTCACAAAGGTAAGGTAACATCTTACATCGAATCATATTCATCCGATTCCAACACAGTTGATCACCTAAGCACACATCACTCTTTTCTACGGAGTAGAGTAAATCCAGCTTGCTATGCACGGACCCCAAGCGCCTTCCCGGTTCATTTACGTCACTAAGTGGGCAAATGGTGAAAGCTTTAAGTTCCATAGGCCAGCTCTTGATTTCTTCAACATAAGAAGTAATCTTGTACTTTGAATCCAGAGCATTGTCTTTCTATACCTTCTGATACCCAATTGACGTTACATAATACCAATTTTCATCATGTTTGCAAGACAAACCCTCAGAGCGGCTCAGCCATTGAGAAGCGTAAGTTAGAGCTTTCTGCTTTTTTTCTCAATGCTGTGGAACTCGAAGCTTGAAGCAGATAGCTTGCTTAGATATCACAGCACAACGCGTTGCAATATCCAAACACGTTATTCAACACAAGCTAACAAATTGGTTTATAGCAATACCGTCGATATGCTACCGAATCCTCCAGTGGCGGTGGATCGAATGCTGCCTTGTACGCCGGTCTCGCAGCTGCAGCAGGCGCTGGAGCATACTACTTCTTGAACCAGGGAGATAATGCCGCAAAGGTCAAGGATGCAGCAAAGGACGCAGAAGCTAAGGCAAAGGAGGCTGTTGGACAGGGTAAAGCTAAGGTCGAAGGAGCTGTTGGGAAAGCTGCTTTCACTGGTGGTGACCAAGGCTTCATCAGTCTTAAGCTCGACAGCGTGGAGAATATCAACCACAACACCAAGAAATTCAGATTCGAGCTTCCTGAGAGTGACCAAGTCAGCGGCTTACAAGTCGCTTCTGCTCTTCTTACTAAGTATAAGGGCCCAGAGATGCAAAAGCCTGCGATCCGTCCTTATACCCCCACTAGTGACGAAAGTGAGGATCAGCCATAATTCCTTTTCATCAAGCTTTATTAACACTTTATTAGGTGAACAGGGATTCATCGATCTTCTTGTAAAGAAGTACCCCAATGGTGTCATGTCCGAACACATGCACGCCATGGTTCCCGGACAAAGATTGGACTTCAAGGGACCTATCCCAAAATACCCATGGTCAGCAAACAAGCATGACCACATTGCTCTCATTGCTGGAGGAACTGGAATCACTCCAATGTACCAACTCGCACGAGCCATCTTCAACAACCCCGCCGATAAGACAAAGGTTACATTGGTATTCGCAAACGTCACCGAAGAAGATATCTTATTGAAGCGCGAATTTGAAGATCTTGAGAACACATACCCACAACGATTCAGAGCTTTCTACGTCTTGGATAACCCGCCCAAGTCATGGTCTGGCGGAAAAGGTTTCATCGACAAGGAGCTCTTGAAGACTGTTCTTCCAGAACCTAAGACTGAGAATGTTAAGGTCTTTGTCTGTGGTCCACCAGGAATGTACAAGGCTATCTCTGGTCCAAAGGTTTCTCCTTCGGATCAGGGTGAGTTGGCTGGTGTCTTGAAGGAGTTGGGGTACTCGAAAGAACAAGTTTATAAGTTTTAGAGGACTGCTATCATAATTTAGACCTGTAAGATAGAGATACTTATAGATAGACAGACCGGAATGAAAAACCACATATACCCGCAGCAATCTAAGCGTCTTGATTCCATTTCCGTTTCGCTGCTCTATGACTTGATCTTCTGTGATTTTTTTTCCAATGAGTTTCAAATGTTTTAGCGTTGATTTCCAAACGTCTGAGGAATCAATGATTTTTTGGGTCAAATATTCGAAAGCCTCTTCTCGCCATTCTCTCCACACTTGTCCAGAAGATTGTTTAGTCTAACTTTTCTCCTTAAAATACCGGTTTTGCAACAATGCGTATTCACAGGGTAAGAATGGCAATTCGCAAGAGCAGTTGACGAATTAAAATTGTTTCTCTAGATTCATCGTCATTATCTCATATCTATTCTATCTATTAAGTATGTCTGGCACTCCTGTATAGCCTGCTTCCCCCCGCGCCACCCATGACATTATATTCACGCTTTCCAAACCCTCTAATATTTCCAACGCACGAAGATTCAAACCCAGATACAAAACCAATATTTCCATAGAAGTCCATTCTTGCACAACCCCAATATCTCTAATGCGTCGCAGCAAAGCGACTCCACCCCCTCACTTTCTCCCCATAAACATAAAACAAATACGGCACCGGCACCATCACCGCGCTTATCCCCCCCAACACCGTAAGCGTCCAATGCACACCCAGATTCTCATAAAACGGAATCCCCACCTCCACCATCCCCCCCGCAGCCACATATCTCACCAGCGTCAAACTCGCCAGTGCAGACGCCGCGTACATTTCATAGGAATCGATAATATACTGATACGTACTTATGAAAATACACAGGATGCCAAAGCCAAAAAAGAGCGAAGCAACAAGACCCGACCAGGGAGAAATCGAAGGATAATTCGTCCACCCCATCCAGAAAAGCGAGATGGGAATAAATGGCGCGCCGAACATGGCAAACCAGAGTCGTTTTTCCGGGGGCAGTTTGGCTTTCTCTCCGTGGATGGCGCGCAGAGCTTCCAGATCTTGCTTCGCCCAGTGGTGGATCAGTGGAACGAGACAGGTGGCGAAACAGAGCCCGATGGCAATCCCAAGGAATGCGAGTCCGGTGAGCCCCTCGCTGAAATTGTACGTTTCGCCAAAAATGTACGTGTATCCGTCGAGAAAGGTAAAGAGGATAATGTATACGACGGTGAGATACAGCGCGAAGAGCATGACGATGGGTTCGCGCGTGATGAGGAGACAGGGTCGATATAACGCTTTGAGTAAGCGCGTTTTGAATGGATCGGCTCGGATTTCCACCTCGGCCACAAATCGCTCATCGCCTGTTATGCGGCGCAGATGCGCGGCTTTCCATTTCAGCAGAATGGGCGCGAAAGTCTCGGGTTGGAATAATGTGATGAGGAGGAGGATAGCCCCGGAAAGAATCAAGGTAATCCATTCGCACCATCTCCAACTCACGAGGCGAGATTGTCCGACGAAACCCCCGACGATGGGCCCGAATATCGGTCCCATGAAGGCGGCGTTGGCGAAGACGGGAAAGGCGTACACGCGCTCCATGGGCGACCACAGATCCGATATGGATCCCCCGGCGCAGGTGAGTGGGGTGGAGCCGAAAAAGCCGGCGAGGAAGCGGAAGATGAGTTGCGTGGCGAGATTGGGGGCGAGCGCGGAAGCCATGATCCAGATCATGTATATGAAGAGTGTGGAAATGTATACTGGGTTTCTCCCGATGGTTTCGGATATCGGTCCTAAGTACCGTAGGTATCAGCATATACGTTTCAAGAATCACATACAGATACCTATGTAGGTGATAGATTAAATGAACTGTACAAACAAGATAAAAACTCACCAGCAAACAACGCCCCCAATCCAAATCCCACAAGAAACAACCCCGTCGTCAACGACTCCGCAACCTCACTCACGCCAAAATCTTTCCCCGCCTGCGTCAACGCCGCACTATCAATCGACGACGCAAAGCCCACTATAAATCCAATCGACGCAATCATGACGGTGCAGAAACTCCGCCGCCAAATCGACCAATTATGCGGATTCATGTAATCTTTCGCGCCTTCGTAACCGACGACGAAGACCGTTTCTCTCTCTCCTTGTTTGTCATTCCCTGCATCGTTTGTGTGGGGTGCTTGTCTCGATTTAGATTTGGATTTGCCCTTTGATGCGGTCCGCGTTCTCGTTAGCTGGGCAGATAATTCGCGCACCTCGATTCCCGTTAATGTATATCCCAATCGTGTTCCGAAACTGCGCGTGGTGTGTGCTGTTGCTCGAGTGGCGATTCGATCAAGGGTTTCTGATCTCGCGTTTACACTTTCGTCGTCTTGTTCTTCTTGTTCTGTATCATCTTTCTCTTTGTGTGGATTTTCTTCGGTGTAAGAATCTAGTGAAGGGGCATTTGATATACCTCTCTCTGCTTTCTCAATATCGTGCGTGTGTAGCTCCGTTGCCGAGGATCCTGTATTATCAGAGGAGGCGGAAGAAGAAGAAGAAGAAGAACGAAACCCCCCAGACCCATCCCTTCTATTCACATCTAAATCCAAATTCAAATTCCCAGATTGCACATCTCTATTCCCCCTCTCCAGCGCCTCTGCCCTCAATCTATCCCTCTCGAATTGCGCTTCGGTTAACCTCCCAAATCGTTTATATGTCAAATACGATTGCATACTGAAGACTTCCTCGTATGCTACCACGTATCAGAGATTCTTCATAGAATTCTCGAATTTTCCCAAGGAAAATTCAAGGGTGGAAAAATAGGTATATATATAAAACACAAAAGAACTTATAAGACATCAAACCCACATCGGGGAAAAAACATTTACAGCGAATCTACCAACACCATAAAAACGACTCGTAGTGGAACCTCTAAGCAGCATAGCTTCGTAATAGCACAGGGTGCGAGCCATATTGAATCCTGACACAACCCTACAGCTGAAAAGCAGAATGAATGATAACGATCTTCTATCAACGATGACCGGACTCCGGTGGAGTTTTTTTCATTTTTCCCCTGCAGATGGATTGTGGATATTGCAGATTGATAGTGGATATTGCGGAAGCGATAGTGTTATGACGCAGATGACGAAGGGTGGATGATTATAATTGGGCCTGTTGATAGATAGTGCGCAAGAAATCTTATGGCAAGGAGGGCCGAGAGCGGGGCGAACGGGGGGAGTTACCGGGAAAGCTTGTAAAGCTTGTAAAATCGTAATCGGATATAACTCCGAAAATGAAGTTTCTTATTTTTCTAAGATATTTTGTAGGCTGATAGAATGACTCGAGACTACAGAGTGAAGGATAATTGACATCAGTCTAGACCACACACCAATCAAGCTTAGGAAGCTAGTTCAGACTACCTATAGTTAGGTAGTCAAATAGTAAGAGAAGCCCATGTGAATAAAGTAACTTAGTATTCTGCCATCTGTCTGGTATTATGACAATGTCCTCCCAACTCCTATTATACCCAAATTCGTCCAATTTAAGTCGCCCCAGATATATCCTCAACAGACAATATCACCAATTACATCAAATCCCACCTATATGCATATAAATACCATAAGCAAATCAGCTACCACTAATCTGCTTGCCGCTTCCTAGCGCAGAAGTAAACTGTCCAAATTCCTGACCATCAAAAATCCTTAAATACTCCGCCGCATTTCTCCATCTAGTCTGAAATCTTCTTAAACAATTTCTGATAATTTCCAATGCCTCCTGAGACTGTAGATTACGACTTTCCCTCCACTCCCACATATAATGCTGGCCTGCTGCCCACAAAGAGTCCATTATCAATGGACTAACCTTATCAAGATCGGCTTGTGTTTGTGCATGGCTATTGACACTCTCAGAAAATTGAACAACGCTAGCCGAGAAATCTTGTAGACCTTTGATGGCTCGATTCATCATGACACCTTTCTCGGAGGAGTTTGCTGTGCCACATAACCTATCTGCGGGACAAGAATAGGGGTCAAGAAGAGCAATGATTGCACTGTAAATAATGGCGAGTGATGTTGCTAACATGAGATAATCTCTAGAAACCATCGCCTCTTCATTGACTACACGAGCGAGAATAGAACAATTATCGAGGAGCTGACTTGCAATGTCAAAACGGGCTGTCTCGGTTGGAATCTGCTCAATGTAATGGTGACGAAGAACATTTCCCAAAAGCACAGATCCTTGACAAAGTCGAGCAAATGGTGTTACAGACTCGGGGAGCGGAGTAGACACGTGCTTCTGAGCGGTTTGAGTCATATCGCCACTATCCTAAACACCAATTAGTTCAGATTAATCGGAAGTCTGAATTGAGAACTTACCCATGCAACATCATCCACAGGTAAAGGATCATCTTCTTTTGGTTCCTGGGTAGTTAATCGGTGATTCTTGCTCCCAATCGAGACCATTCTGTGTCATGTGAGTTTTAGAAATTTGGACTTGTGGTGAAAGTCTCACCTATCGAGTATAAGAACACCCCACCATGTTCGGTATCGCTCTTCTTGCTCGGTCCAAGTATCCTGAATATTGGTCCCAATTAGAAATGTAAAATGGAAAGGGGAAGTATTGCTTACAACAGGGCCAACTAATGAAGGAGAGGTGTCAAAATCGTTGATACCTAATAAAACAGCGTAGCGAGAACACCAGCCAGCAGACATCCAAGCTGCAGGATATATTGCTTGGCCATACTCATAAAGAGTAATAAGAATACTAGCTTGTAACAATATCAACGACACCATTCCAGAAGCTTCTAGCAATGCAAGAAAACGCTTTGCAGCGATGTACATTGGATTTTGACCACATCCTTGGCCATCTACTGGTTTAGATGTGATGAGCTTCATACAAAGAAATAGCAAAACCAAGTCTGCATTACTATCCCGGGCAGGAGTAGTCAGAGTTCGTTCTAATCTCTTATGAGAGATTATCGGAAGGCAGTGGTGAATAGTTCCAAAGTATTCTAAGATGACAGCAGGTATAGCTGCTCCACTTGCCAACATTTGATTGACTTCCTATCCAGTGATTATTAGCAGGTTTCAAGGACGGATGGTTCGCATATAATGGTGATCGAGTGTAGTAAGGTCATGCA